AAGACCATAAGATCAATATAGTGCTCTATAAAGACATCATCGTTATGGCTAATTCAGGTACGCTTTCGCATTCAGTTTACAGCATGTTTATCAATATGGGATTATGTTTATGTTTGATCGTTAAAATCAAAATCAGGATTATTATTATTATTATTATTATTATTATTATTATTATTGTTTTTCCAACAAAAATATGTTCAAAAAATTCAACATTGTTTGTCTTCACTATAGTATTATGCTCAATTGCATCACTTTTAAGAACAAGAAACCTTGAGGAAACACTATGTTCCGCATAGCCTAAGAACATACAATTGTAAGTTTTAGAGCCTATTTTTCTTTTCTTGGGATTGAGTAACATTACCTTAACTAGGTACTTCCACACTCTTAAGTATTTAAAATTAGGTTGACAATCTCTCCATAACTTATAGGGAGTTTTACAGTTTTCTTATATGGTATCTTATTTTGTAAAAAAAAATTTATAAGTAAAGCTTCTCTCCAAAGGTTATCAGATGCATTATAACTAATAAGTATGACATTCATAATTTCTTTAAGAGTTCTATTCTTTCTCTCAGTTACTCCATTGGACTCAGGTGAATATGGTGGGATCATTTCATGAATAATATCTTCTTTAACATAATAATAACTAAATAATACATATTTACCATCTGTATCTGATTTAATCTCTTTAATTTTATTATTGATTTTCTACTTCTGCTTTATAAGTTAAAAATATGTCAAAACGTTTTATCCTTATATTTGATTAGGTATACTTTTGTATATATAAAACAATTATCTATAAATGTTACAAAATAATTCTTACCATCTCTAAACATGATTTATTTTAGATCAGCTAGATCAATATGAATCAATTTGAGTTCAATTTGACGTTCTATAGATTGATAATTTTTCTTGATTGTTTTAGATTCTACACATGTATCACATTTCTTACTTTGTTTATCATACATATTAATTAATCCTAATCATTTCAATTTCATTACGAGAAATTCACATGTCCTATATAGTCTAGCATGTCACATATCATATGAATCAACAATATAAGTAGAAGAATCAGATTCATTAACAACTTTAGAGATATTAAGTACAAAAAGACCTTAGTCACAATATCTCTTCCCTACAAACACATTACTTTTTGTGATAATAATCTTAAAAACTTATGACGGATAATAAGGATACAAACAACAATTCTACATTGAATAAGACAAACAATATTTATGGTCTTAAAAATTTATCCACGATGTATTGTGCAACTTCTCCAAGATATAACAAAAACTTTTCATCTCAAAACTAACAATAAACTCGTTAAGAGTAATAACCCAAGATATAAGAAAAGAAGAAAAGGAGAGAAGAGAACAAATTAGTTGAAAACAAGAGAGATATATATTTAATGATTTCGGAATAGAAGCATCTATTCATAGGGGTAGATGGGTTTAAGAAACCCAACTTCTCACGTCAAATATCCACCAAAAAGTGCAAAGGGAGAAACATGACAGTTTTTGTGGATCAAATAACAAAAGCAACAGGAAGTTTTATATCTGCTGCAATTTAGGTCAATATTTGCAGAGGGAGAATCGTGCAGCATATGTGGGGCTCGCATTAGGTTTTGCAGTACTCTATTTTTTATAAGTTTCATAAAAAGGAAAAAAAAAAAAGACACATATCCTGATTAAATCACATTTTTTATGGCCTAACATGTCATTTTCTTTCTTTTCTTTTCTAAAAGTGCACGTCTTGTTAGTTACATTGGTTCAAAAATCAGTAAAAGCTAATGAAAAATGAAAACAATATAATCACATAGTTGAATGTCAATGATAACATATAATCTTTAATCAATCAATGCACAAGGAAGGTTTGTAGTTTCACCAACATTTTCGTGCAGAGTCTGTGGAAGCACGATAATGTGACCTGAAAAAAGAGCTACCTAAGAAGTGCTTTTGGGAAAGAATACTTGATACCATAGAAGGTTCAAAATGAAAATTATATCACGTATCTCAAAGAATGTCATAAACACATCATTGTCATGAAGCTTTTTCTTTAAGAAAAGATGGGGCTCTCATCTTGAGTTTAGCTCATGCATACAGAAATAATAAGAGTAATAATGGGAAAGAAAGATTGTTGAAGCTAGCACAAGAATTCATTGTTCAAGAATTGAGATGTCATAGCCAAAATGTCATAAAAGGTTAATAAAATGTTGTAGTCTTAAGATTCCATCGATTGCATAATCCTTAATTTTGGATACTCTTATGGCTCCATGATCCAATGTTCAAACACTTTTATTTGTTGGGACCAGCATAATCCTGAGATAAATTTCAGAAAGCCTCTTAGCTTTCACATATTTATGGCTTCGCTTCTGGAAAGTACCAAACCATAACTCACAGATTTCCGAAAGAATTCGCAACGACATCTTACAATTGACCAGGTTTTGTTTTCGGTGAAATCTTGGAATTCTTGGTGGAACATGTAAGAAAATTATGATTAATTCATATAATGTTAAAGTACGAAAACAAATGCAATGTTCTGTTAAAAGATTGTGTAGGTTTTCACTTTCAAATCTCTCCAATTAAACATCTGCCATCTGTTAATATTTATGCAATTCTAAACAAGCATAGATTTTGTTTGATGCGTGAAATATGTTTCAACATTTCTATATTCCAGTTCTCATTTTTCGCCTAAGAAGATGATGATGCGATTTCTTGATCCTGTTCGATCCATGCACCAAGGTAACCAACTAGTCGATATGTTGACTAACGTATTTAATTCTTCAAGCACAAGATCATGGTGAAAAATTGAAAATTACATACTGCCTACAAGTTATCCGAGTATCAATCAGCATGACAATCTGTCTCACCACATAAATTAATTCAGGTTAAATGAAAAAGTTGGAATGACCAGAGTCATTATACATTAACGCAACACAAAGAACAATCCCCAAATTCAACATGAAGATTCGTCGACCTTTCCACGCATATATCCCCAACATTTTGCCATTGTGGCGAATGCTCCGAATCAGCTATCTGTTGTTGCCTCACTTGACTTTTCATTAGAGGACTGCCGAATAAATTGTCCACGAAATCGAGGTCGTTGTTCAGCTAATTTCTTTCTGCTCTGATATCGAACCTAAATATGCAAACCATGTTGAGTTAGCTCCACCCGACAAATATATCATCCAAATAATAGAAATTCCTTACTCTACTGGGTTTCATACAAAACAAGTACTTTGCAATCAACAGCAAAGTTTAGAATCTGTCCATCTCCCATTCTTCTAAAATATTACGGGCCGGTTTGATTTTTAAAATAATAGTTTTTCATTTTCTTTTTACTAGTAATAAGAGAACCGGTCTTGTAATTTGAAAACGAGTCAAAAGAAAAGGTTCCCCCTTCTTATTTTGATTTCTTGATCAGAGAGATCTATGAATCCGAATCAGAAGCATGATGCTGCATATAAATACAAATGGTCCAATGGAAACAAAAATTACCAAAAACATTTTGAACTATTTAATGTATGTGAAGAATAGCCGTTTTCAATATTTCATGAAATTACACACACAAAAAAAAAAATTGACTCCATTCATGCAAAAGTTGAATAAAATAACATTTTTTTATGTCATAGAATAAACAATAAATGAAATTAGAAGTGTTTTGTCAAATAAAAATAGATCTTTTAAGTTGTTATGTGATATTACCTAATACTTTAGAATCAAATGTGTAGCTAAGTAAAAATATAAAAGTGGTGAGCCTCGAACTGGCTACATCCCAGAGATCCATAACCGGACCTGCCCTCTTGTGTGTACCTTTCTGAGCTTCTCAGGCACATGAAGATCACATGTACAGCCTTGTCCGAGTCAGATCTCGATGCAATTGGAGCCTTTACTCTCGTTGGCCTTAGCTCTCCACATTTTGGTAGGTTACTATCCTATTGTGGCCATTAGTGGTATCCCTCATCAAACCTTAGGCGCATATTCATTCTTTAAATGCTATTGTTTGCTATATGTCTGAAGAAGGACCCAATGTCAATCTAGAACTCCGTATGGCCCAAATTCCGCTAGATCAATAGTCAAAAGTCTATTCTATAGGTCCATTTGTTCAGTTTCAATCATTTTAAGAACTTCGAAGTATACACAAAAGCATACCACCTTATATACCCATTTTCTCTCTCCGTTTAGCAATTCAAAAAATTTGGTTTGCATGATAGGACAACACAAATAGAAATATACTGACTCTTCATCAAAGAAAAGATTAGAAGTGTGTCAAAACTGAAAAAAGAAACGAGACTACCCTATAATATTGAAATGTTACAATGAAGTTAGGCCCCAATCCAAAGCCTATCTAAAGTTGTGTCTTGACTTGGTCAAGCGGACACAGCAGCCACGATCCCAAACATGGAGCAGTTTTGCGGCCACAACAGTGAACGACCATGAAATCTCAAAAATACTTTATGGTAATTTTGAACATGCTTATATAGGTTAGTTTCTAAAACTCTTCTCTCGCGTGCAAATCAATTCTTTCTTCTCAACCCTAACCTTCTCTCGCACATCTAAACACTATTTTATTCTCCAGCAACCCAGTTATTTTTCAACGAACGACCACACTGCAGCAAAAGCAACATCCCATTTTTCTTATTCTCTCCTCTATTTTTCTTATTATTATTCTTTATTTACTCATTCCCCCCTTGTTCTTTGTTTACCCATTCCTTTGTTTTTATTTTATTTACTCATTCTTCCCCTTGAGTACTGTAGTTCATTTTTTCCCTCCGCCCAAAACTCTTTTCCTGTACTATTTTGGTTTTTCCTTTGTCTCTGTTCACTTTTTTGGTTGTTTGGAGCAACTATATTCTTTTTTCTTTTTCATGATTTTGTGTCGATTTTGTATTCTATCCAGCAAAACATCAATTGCATCTTCCTCCTATCAAAACACTGACAGTAAAGCTTCTCAACAAAACAAATAGCAAATTCAACGGTTACCACATATAGCAAATTCAACTGCTACCACATCAATGGCATCTTTAACTGCAATGATCAAGCATACAGCTAGTGAAAATATTATCGAAGCATGGCAGTGAGCATAAAGAACAAAAGCAATAGGAAGAGTGTGACATGTGCTTTTTGTGGAAAAGCATCAAGCAGAGGAATTACAAGAGCCCAAATCATCAAATCAAAATGAAAAGTGATGTTTGTAGGAAAACACAGGAGGATGACGAATTACAATTGAAGGCATCCTGTGTGCAGGAAAAAGGTGAAAAAGACTTGTATTTAGATCGGGAGTAAGAAGATTAAGGCGAGGAAGATGAGGTGCAAGAAATTTTATGTCTTCAAAATGGAAAAAGGCCTCTAACATCAGCTTAGGCCACTTTACTGGTTGCCATTAAGAAAACTACAGATGTTAAGGGCAAAGTTGTTACTAGAAATCCCACAAAAATCTAATATTACACTCAATGTTGGAGATCGTTCATTGACTAATCATAATTTTAAAGTAAATCCCGACCTAACTTAACTTATAAAATCGACTTGTATAGGGTTTTCATTTCCCTTATATATTATTCTAACCACATCGCTAGTCGATGTGGAATCTCCAACATGGGATTGGAGAGCATGAGATTAAATATTTGGGAGATTTCTAGCACATTCCTTCACATCAAGGATATGGGTGGTTTGATATAAGTAAGACAAACTTTAATACCATAATAGAAAATAAATATTAACCTAATTCAACTCTACAAAATCATTATAAAATAAGGTTTGCACCTCACTTATAGATTATAATTTGATCATTTCGTAGGCCCTAACCGTTGTTAAACGATAGAGTTAATTCATGAACTCAATCGAGTTTACTAGCTCACACCTACAAATTGAGCTGATTTGGTTTTGAAATCATTTCTCAATACTAAGATAAACTCTCAAGGTTGCTCAAAAATACAAGTTCATGTCCAAGTTAGCAAGTCACCTCCATACCATTTTAGAGCATTGCAACGCCCTAGCACTCCTCTTAAGGTCGTTGGGTCACAGTTGAGACAGTAGATTTTGACCCCAATTTATGCTGTTTCAGTCATGATAACATCTTGCTAGTTGTTCCGCACATGAATGCAGCTTGAATTGAAGAGACTACCACTGTCCTCACATGTCACAGAAGAGAAAAGGACGATAAAGTTGTTTATTACAGCCAGGACAGCTGGAATGGTGAGAATGGGGATAGAAAGATTATGGTATCATCACCAGAAGGTTGTATATATTAGAGAGGTGGAATGGTGTTAGGCAAAAATTGAGGGCTTAAGGATTTCTCGCATTGTTATATTTAATTTCTTTTGTTGCAATTTTCCTGGGAATTTTGTTAGGTCAACCACTGAGTGAAGGAATTAAAGTGGATTAAATATAATGTCCAGTTCCTAGAATATCATATCAATATATAATAAATTACTCACTAATATACTCCAAGGACTGTTACCTTTTTATGAAAGCACCTCTCCTTTCTTTCTTTTCTCTTTTGGCGAAATTTAGTTAAGGCTGCTTCCCTCTGAGAAGTCTTGTTTTGATCTACTCTGTTGGCACTTCCATCGCCACTGCCACTATTCCCAGGGAGTCCATTGTTACTTTCCATGTTTGTCCCTCCAGCATTAATTGCCGTGCTGCTCCGATTTTGCCCATTGCTTCCATTGTTGCTGCCTGAAACACTTCTATTGATACTGTGGTTTCCAACAGTACCTTCAACTACCACGTCAACGACATTTGAAGAGCCACAATGTGGAGCAGCAGCAGTAGCCATTTTCTTTATAGATTCAGCATCATGATCAGGTGGCAGCTGCTGCTTGTTAGCAGTACACTTATGGTTTTCATAATGAAGATGGAAGTCTGGAGATGCAGAATCTTTATGTCTGTCTACTTTAGGTAGTGACAGCATTGTTGCTGCCATGTCTTCAGTATCATGTAAGACAACTTGTTGAGAGTTACAGACAAAGTTCTTTTCTATAGGCTGGAAAGCAGATGTTTGGTACAAACATTTGGTTGAGGCCACTGCTGGCTCACTTATAACTGCAGATTTAGCATAAGCATTATTAGTAGTGGAACCCATATCAATGTAATTGCTAGCACCATTTGAGTTTTGGTTAGGAGGATTGCCGCTAGAATGAGATTGAATATCTCGAGATGAATCTTTCTTTGTAACTTCTAAGCTATTATTGTATGGAGAATTGCTTCCAACACATCCTGTGGGAGATTTCTTAGCGTTAGAGGCTGCATTGTACCTGTAGCAAAAGACTTTTAACAATTAAACAGTTATGAATTTGAAAATTAATTCAGAACAATAGAAAACAGTAACATAGTATCATTATACCTTGAGAAAGCAGACTGATCAGAACGTCTTAAGACATTCCGGTCATCATGAATTGTAATACCAGCATCTTTAACTCCTCTAAGCCTCTTTAAACTGAGGCCAAGAGATGGCAATTCTTCATCATTATTAGTACCTTTATTTTCAATATCTGAGGACTTCGGTCTTTTATTTAAGCCTTCAAATTCTCCACTATGCATCTGAGAATCAGAAGTGCTTGTAATGGCATCAGACATTGATAATCCTTTGCACCTTAGCTTGCTAGATTGATTTTCACAATTAAGGTCCAGCTGATTAGAGGGGCCAGCATCGGGTGCATTGCTATGTTTAGAACCTGCAGTTTTGACTGGAACCCCATTGATATAGTTGACCATCAAGTCAATATCTCTACTGAGTCAACTTTCATCTCTTCCAGGGAAAAGAATTAAATACGATAAATCATCCCAAAATAAAGGTACAGGCATATATAAGCATGTGCAATAGGGATATGAATGCATATATGAACAACTGGCCACCCACACTAAGGGAGTCAACTTTCACCATCTCTTTGACATTGTCTACGGAAATGAATTAAAGAAAATAAATCATCCTAAAAATAAAGGTACATGCATATTTATAACCTGCAACAGGTACATAATGCATATATGAACAGCAGGCCACCCACACATTCAAGAGAGGTTACACATAATGGAATGAGGTCAGTAGGCATGAAATGCAATTATCAACAAAACTAACTGTATCGAAGCAAGATTAAAAAAAACTCAATTTAAAAAAGGCCTTCTAATCCAGCTGTATGACAGTAACAATGCATTGCAAAGCATGTCAACCAAAAGAAATTGAGCAAGTATAAATGTAATGTTGAAAACATCGAAGCATGGATGAAATATATATGAATAGAAACTTAACACAAGCATAGGAAGTGTACTTTGAAATAATATACTCAAAGTGCTGGATTTAGGAATGAAACTCATGATTTTAATATTTTCTATTTATGGGTCAGGGTTAAAATAATCATTTGGCCACTACAGGTGACACTCATCCAGAAATAAATTCTTGTATGAAAATAAGTAAATAAGCACATAAATAAATAAAAAACTGAAGTTTCAGTCCCTGGACACCATTATTAGTACACATTGATCCTTGTTGTTACTGTGTTTCTTAAGTTTTAGTCCCTATACGCCCTTTGTTTGCAAGGACCAATGTGTGCTAATATGGTCATATACACCCTTATTTGCAAGGACCAACGTGTACTCATATATGCCTTTATTAGCAAAGACAATGGTGTACCCATAATATAGGGCCTAAAACTTGAGTTTTTCTTATATAGAGACTGTTTCCTAAATGAATGTTACCTGCGGAGAATTTAACCTATCATCTAAAAATTCATGCACTACAAAAAAAGTACATAAAGGCAAACCCAAAAGCAAACCAACATAATGAAAACAAGAGAACATTAAATCCAATGCTATGGAAGATATCAGTGTTCTAGAAATCCCTCCGCAAGATAGGAGATACGATTAATGCCTTGAAAGTTCAAGAAAATTAGATTAAATGAAATCTTATTTTATTATTTTAATACAAAAAGATCATACAAGATATATATATATATATACATATATATATATATATATATACATATATATATATATATACATATATATATAGGAGACCTAAACTATTTTAGGAAATATAACAATTCTATTTTATTCTAGGATCCATTGATTTATAGGATTGTTCCTAATTGTTCAAATCTGTACAGATTACAAATTTCCTAATTTATTCTTTCCTAAAATACTATTTGATTTCCCACACTCCCCCTCAAGCTGGTGAATAGGTGTTTTCCATTCCTAGCTTGGATACAATCTTCTCAAAATTATGGTAGCCCAGTCCCTTGGTAAGAATATCTGCAATTTGGTCTTGAGAGGACACATATGGAGTGCATATCAAGCCACTATCAAGCTCTTCATTGATGAAGTGTCTGTCTACTTCAATATGCTTTGTTCTATCATGCTGCACTGGGTTGTGGGTTATGTTGATTGTTGACTTATTATCACAATAGAGCTTCATAGGTTCTTCCCATTTTATCTTCAAGTCTTCTAAGATGATTTTAAGTCATAGTAACTCACATATACCTTGTGTCATGGCTCAGAATTTCGTTTCAGCACTGGACCGAGCCACTACACCCTGCATTTTGCTTCTCTAAGTCACAAGAATTCCTCCAAGAAAGGTGCAATATCCTATAGTTGACCTCTTATCCATAATTGACTCTGCATAATCAGCATTAGTATAGGCTTCAAGCTTCACATTACCATTCCTTTTGAATAGAATCCCTCTTCTTGGAGTTCCTTTAAGGTACTGTAAAATTTTGTGGGCTGCTTGTAAATGGGTCTCCTATGGGTTATGCATAAATTGGCTAATTAAACGCACTGCATAGGCAATATCTGACATGGTATGCGACAAATATATAAGTCTGTCCACTAATCGTTGGTACATATCTTTTTCAACAGCAACATCTTCTTCTGCATTTCCAAGCTTTAGGTTTGGTTCTAATGGGGTACTAGCAACTTTGCAAGCTGCTTTGCCAGTTTCCTTGAGCAAATCAGTGATGTATTTTTGCTGGGATATAAATATCCTTTTCTTGGAGTGGGCAACTTCAATTCCTAAAAAATATTTTAGTTTTCCCAAGGTCTTGATCTCAAATTCCTTGCCTAAGCATTGGCTCAACAATTGATGCTCTTCTTTATTATCTCCAGTTAATATTATGTCATCCACATACACCAATAATATTGTTACTCCCCCTGACTTGGAATGTTTAAAGAACAAAGTATGGTCCCCTTGGCTTTGTTTGTAACCCAGACCTGTCATAACTTTAGTAAACCTGCCAAACCATGCACGGGAGAACTGTTTTAGCCCATATAATGCCTTTTTCAACTTGCAAACAGTGTTGGCAACAACATCTCTACCATATCCCGAAGGTATCTCCATATAAATTTCTTCTTCAAGGTCTCCATGTAGGAAAACATTCTTAACATCAAATTGTTCCAAGTTCCAACCATAATTGGCAACAAGGGACAATATCACCCTAACTGTGTTCATTTTGGCAACCAGAGCAAAGGTCTCCAAATAATCAACTCCATAGGCTTGGGTGAACCCTTTGGCAACTAGTCTTGTCTTATATCTCTCAATTGATCTATCAGCCTTGTATTTCATTGTATAGACCCACTTACATCCAACTGGCCTCTTTCCTATTGGTAAGGTGACTAACTTCCAGGTGTTGTTCTTCTCCAATGCCTCCATCTCTACATCCATGGCTTGCCTCCATTTTCTGTCAGATAATGCCTCAGAAAGGGTATTAGGTAGAAGTACTATGTTTAGGTTTACTAGGAAGGTTTTATAGGTAGGAGAGAAATTTTTAAAGGATAGGTAATTTGAGAGAGGGTAAAGTGGTTGTTTAGTGCATTTTCTTGTCCCTTTTCTAATGGCAATTGGGAGGTCAGGATCATTTTGGGTTGGTTTCAATTTCAACCTGCACAGCTGGAGAAAAAATTGTTACCTCTTTTTATGGAGTCGAGTTGGATTCTTGAACATGGCTTGATCCTGGAATGACCTTAGTCTTTCTTAAGTACACCAGCTTCTTACCAAATTTTCCAGCTTCACAATTAATTTCACTTTCTTGACCAGTTTCCTTTTCTTGACCAATTCCTTGACTTGTTTCACTTGTTACAACTTCAATTTGATCTCGTTTAAGTTCAAATATCAAGTCTGGAAGAATGGGAAAACTAGAATTGCTACTTTCAATTTGATCTCGTTTAGGTTCAAATATCAAGTTTGGAAGAATGGGAAAACCAGAATTACTACTTTCCTTATCTTCCCTGAAACTCTCCCCCTGAAGATAAGGTTGATGGAAATAGCCCTCTTATTCATTGAAGGTAACATCCCTAGACACAAAGAATTTTTTAGATGGGGGGTGGTAGCATTTATACCCTTTCTGAGTGGGTGAATAACCAACAAAGACACACTTTAAAGCTCTAGAATCAAGCCCTGTCTATACTATGAATATGGACATATGAAATGCACCCAAAAACTCTTGGTTTAAGATTATTTGTAGTGGACATGTTTGGATAGAAAGACGATAAAGCTTCTATAGGACTTTTTGATCCTAAGATTCTAAAGGGTAATCTATTGATAAGGTATGTTGCTGTAAGGACAGCTTCCCCCCAGAAAATTTTTGGGACACCTTTTTGGAACAACAATGTCCGAGTCTAATTTAATAAATGTCCATTTTTTCTCAGGGCAACCCCATTCTATTGTGGTGTTTTGACACAAGAGGACTCATGAATTATACATTCTTTTTGACCAAAAGAATTAAGGACATGATTGAAGTAATCTTTGGCATTATCTGACCTAAGCCTCTTAATATTAACTCCAAACTGATTTTGTATCAAGGAGTGGAAGTTTAGGAAGACAGAACTGACTTCTAATTTTTGTTTAAGTAGGAAAACCCAAGTGACACTTGTGCAATCATCTATAAAGGTGACAAACTATCGAGCACCAGACACATTTGGAACATTAGAAGGTCCCCATACATCAGTATAAACAAGATAAAAAAGATAAAAAGAAAAATTGCTAATTTTATTACTTATTGGAAAAGATACACACTTGTGCTTAGCAAGTTCACACATCTCACAATGAAGACTCTCTACATCTAACTTGGTAAACAGAAAGGGAAACATAATTTTGATCATTCCAAAAGAGGGATGTCCCAACTGACAATGATAAAACATGATTTTTTCTCTGTTGGTCATCAAGGATTCAGATATGAAGGAGTGAGAGATTCTGTTCTTGCTGGACAGACTTGGATCTTCGAGATAATAAAGGTCATCCCATTCTCTAGCATGTCCAATCATCCTCCCTGAATCCTCATCCTGAAATACACAATGACTGTTGAAAAAAACAACTTTACATGACAAATCTTTTATAAGTTTTTGTATAGAGACTAGGTTGGTGGACAGCTTTGGAACATGGAGAACATCTTTTAAGGTTATTAAAGGATTGATTTGGATATTTCCTTGACCAGCTACAATTATAAGGGTTCCATCTGTTGTGGCAAATTTCTTGTTGCTGGGACATGGGGAATATGTGGAGAAGTGTTTGGCTAATGGTGTCATGTGGTATGTGGCTCCAGAGTCCAATATCCAATAATGGTTAAAAGGTATATCTGAGACATTTAATCCAAAAGAAAGTAGAAACTTACCTGAGTATGCCAAAGAACACACTTGTAGGTTTTTCCAACTTACTAAGAAAGGTTCTCACCCTTTCTATCTCCTCTTGGTTAAGATGGGTAGCAGCTTCTGGATTATTTCCTTCATTTGTTTCAGCAGCTTTTGGATTATCTCCTCCTTTCCTTAAGGAGCCTCCTTTGTGTCCCCCTTCTCGATCTCGATTTAAAGGCTTCCCATGTAACTTCCAACACTTCTCTTGGGTATGATGAGGCTTATTGCAGTAGGTACACCAGAGACCATCACCTTTCTTCTCCACATTTGCTGATCCTCCTTTCTTCTGTTCGGCTACCCCCTTTCTATTCAACACTGTACGAACAAGTTGGGTCCACTTCAAATAATTTCTTCTATTTAGTCTATATGCAGAATGGATATTCTACAGTTCTCCATATTGTTGGGATTGGTTATTCCCTGTTTTTGGGATTGGGTTCACAACTTCCTCTTCCCTTGACATTATAGCAAGAAGGTGCGATGCAACAACAACGCAGAATTCTTAGGGTTAAGAAAAATGCAGCAGCAATGCAGGCTGTCGTCTTAGGGTTAAGAAAAATGCAGCAATAATGCAGGCTGTCGTCTTAGGGTTAAGAAAAATGCAGCAGCAATATAGGCTGCCGTCTTAGGGTTTATAGTGCGCAAACAGAACTTCCTAGATCGGAAGCTCTGATACTATCTGGAAAATTAGATTAAATGAAATCTTATTTTATTATTTTAATACAAAGAGATCATACAAGATACAAGATATATCCAGGAGACCTAAACTATTTTAAGAAATATAATAACTCTATTTTATTATAGGATCCCTTGATTTATGGGATTGTTCCTAATTGTTCAAATCTGTTCAGATTACAAATTTTCTAATTTATTCTTTCCTAAAATACTATTTGATTTCCCACAAAAATATTCATTCAACACACCATAAAATTAGCATTAACGCCACACATACAATTTGGTTGACTGTGAGTGAGAAAGAGTTAATGCAGTGACATGAAGATCAATGCACTTCGGCCTTACCAAATTGTTCTTTCCGTTCTGGACTTTCCTTTGCAGCTAGGGGAACCACCTGTTTCCCCCCTATTTCAGCATTGGAGTGAACAACTTGAGCACAGGTGCTGTCGGGGCACTCAGCTATTTGATCCCACTGAGAGACTGGTTTAGGACTATCAACTTCTACAGCACGTTTGGTCCATGAGCTCTGTATAAAGAGAAAACAAAGAACATGTCAAGTAGCTTTTGCTTACAAGAATTAGAATATAACCTCCATTCGACCATCTGACCAGTAAAATTTGCTGTGGTGTTTGTTGTTTAACTGTTTACTTCACTTAGACATTTGAATTTGATGTTTGTTAATGAATGACTTGTTAAATTATTAAGGTTTCTAGACCTTACTTTTTCACAAACTAGCAAGTGAAAACAGCATTTCATGTAATCCTGATAGAACACCACAAAAAGAATCACAGAAACAGTAAGAGATAAATGCAACATTAGGTGTGTCATTCAATTATCAGAAAATGTACCCACTGAGAGCACACTTGATCCAGAGTTACAACTCCTATGTCACAGGTTTTTCTCCACTATCCAAGTCACGCAATGTCTTCCTACTCTCCCACTCACACCTCTTTCCCTATATTCAGTCGCATAATAGAACTCTCACTTCCCTGCTGCCACATTGGCATTATTTCTCTTAGAATAGACAATGCATATCAGCCTAGTAAGGCCAACACCCAACAGCCGACCCCTCCCCTCATTCTAACATGGTCAGACAGTAGCAACTACATGAACCACTTTTTGCATCAATATTAGTAAAAACAATGTGCCACACTTCCAACTCAATCAAAAAAGATTTTTCAGAAAATTATAATCTGAAAAACATAAAATTTTACAGGTTAGGTTAAACTGAACCATTTTTACATTACATACTGAAGATAAATCAAGGCAGTTATATAATTCCATGTTTTCAAAAAAAAAAAAAAAAAGACAATGAAATATCAGTATAATTAGTCTCACAGCCATGCACATCAGAAAGGTAATCATTTCCTCTTACATATATAACTGATACAAGTACTCAAATGAATGGACCCCCTCAAGGTCGTTTATGTGTACATTCAAATCCACATAACACTTTTCTCTACAACTTCTCTTTTTCGTTAAGAGACTCAACTCGACCTTAGTGGCTTGGGTTGTTGGGTCTATTAACTAAAATAGTCACAATTATTCAAATTTGAAAAAACTATCATAAAAAAAGGGAATTATTTGTCTCCAAACTTTTTTTAGAAAACAGCACAGAACTTAATATATAAGTCCAACCGTCAACACTATCACAGGATCTTACATGTACCCCAAAAGGCATAATACATGTCCCAAACAACACTACCAATTATTTTATTATTAATATAATATGTAGGCTGGGTAAAGACCACATTTCAGTTAAGTCCAACTGTCCAAATCAACACTATCACAAGATCATTCACATACCAAAAACCAAATGCCACAATACATGTCCCAAACAACTCTAACAATTAATTTATTATTAATATAATATAAAATATCCAGGTCGAGTTGGAAATGATTAACCTTGAAACCTAACTTTACCAATAAGGCCTGTTCAATCCATGCATGCATGAGTTCTTTTCCAGCAAAACATCACAAATACAGAAGTTATACCTGAGTGCCACTACCATTGTCACTTCCATCCCCATTCAGGCCTACACTTCCATTATCATCTTCATCACTGCTTCCAGAATTATTATCAGACTTCTTTACAGACTTCTGTGTTTGCGTGCCACTTTCACTGCCACTCCCACTAGACTGAGGGAAAGAAAGAAAATAATAATCATAATTAAACTTTCACAGCCACTCCCACTAGACTGTGTGAAAAGAAAAATAATAATAATCATAATTGACAAAGTAAATAGAGCCCCACATCATATCAAACAGACAATTTTAAGGATGAAGTATCATAAATCTAAAATCAATCCACATTCAATAATAATAATAATAATAAGTGGTTCTCACATTTACATCAATCCTGTATTAATATTTTGATTCCATAGATTTAGCAAAGGTAACAGACTGCTTATATTATCATATATATTCATATCAGAAAAGAAAATGAAATAGAAAATATATCATCGGGAAAGAAAAATTCAAATCAGCTTACACTGTGACATCTTCTCCAAACATGCTGCCACAGATTTTTAAGCTCATTCTTCCGTATGGGTTTAACTAAAAAGTCAACTGCACCCTTTGACAAACACTTAAAGACTAAACCCATAGAATCGTGAGATGACATCACTGCAGACCAATCCCATTAGAAGCCACACAAAGAGTAGCTCTTTTACAGCATGTAATGAGAAAAAGAAATGCTTCAAACCAAACATATATAAGCAATTGGAAAAACTTACTAACTACAGGAATATTTTTCCGGGTTTTGTGGCCCATAATCTTATACAGAAGACCAATGCCTGATAAGCCAGGCATTGCCACCTCAGTTAGGACGAGATCAATATGATTGGTTAAATCCTCTAACATCTTCCAAGCTTGCAATCCGTTTGCTGCTTCAATAACTGGAAAAAAAAAACAAATACAAATTAAGCTCTTATGTAACAATTATAAACTAGTCACATAGAATTATATTAAAAACAACAGATTGACACCATGGGCAAAATATTTGCTCATAAAGTTAGATGTTTAAAAATAAAAAAATTTCACTGCAAATTGTTGCAATGCTATCCAAGAGAGAGAATGAAGAGAATTCCGAACATTTTTATCGAATCTGAATTGAATGTAATAATGTACATTGAATAGGTATTAATAGACTACAGTGGTAGGCTAAACTAATCCAACAGACCATACAGCTACAAGTACCTACCATAAGAGAGTCCAGCTATGTATAACAGAATAGAGTTACTTGACAGATGTACAAGAGCCACACTGTGCGCCTAGCTACTGGGTAATGTCTACATATAACAGAAGTCACCTATGCTACCTCTTATTTATAGTTTACAAATATACATTCACAACCAAGGTTGTCAAAATCAGGATTTTAAGCCAGTTCACAAAATTGTAAATCGGTGACATCATAACCGATTCTATTCTACATAAATATAACATATATGACAATGTAATATTGACTTATAAAATATTCATGAAATCTTTTAAAATAAAATATGATGAATACAATTAAATTAGCATACATTAATTTCATATCATTATTTAATAATAAGTTATTATAATAGGTGAACAATTGAGTCTTCCAATAATATAAAAATTATATTAGTAATGATTATTAATTAACTTTTTATAAAAACAGGGTTTTATTTTCCTATGTTCTTTGGATGTAGAAGGCGACACCCATTTCTCCTTACCTTCCACACCTGTCAGATTTTTCTTTCTTTTTCATATTTAGTGCACAAAGGATAGGGTTTTTAAAAGATATGGAATGCTCAAAGCATTAATGAGATTATCGCCCATTGTTAGGAGCTCTTTGGGCATGATAATGCTGCAGTGCCAAAAAAGAATGCAAGGACTACTTCATCTAGTTCCACAACATCAACAAGTTCTTCATCTTCTCTATAGTTGTCACCCAGGTGGTGATCCTATATCCTGAGTACTAGTTGCACACATCAATTCAATGATTTCACGATTTTCTTTGTCGATCCCTCCAATCCTACTCTAGTGCAATCTAGAGTAGGCACTGAATCGACATGATGTGTAAACTCTTGGACTCGTACTATTCCACGATCTTAAACGCGATTTTGACTACACTGATCACAACCCATGCCCATTATAAGTATACATCACCATGGACCATGGAACTCAAGTGAATGCAAAATCTCTTTGCTCAATGATTAAGAATAGTATTAAAAGGAAGATGATTAAACATACGAATCTAGTATGAAACAAGAAAAACTTGAAATTTCAGTATGACAACCTCAAATGCAAAAGCTTGCACAAAGTGAGTGACTAGTCATTCACAAATTCAACAATTCATACAAATGCTAGGTGCTAACAAATATTTGTAACTACTCCACAGGAGGTGCTAGATGGCAATAAATCTATACAAACTTCAAAGCAACTAACCTTTTGAGAATCATTAAACATAATAACAATTAGTTTTCTTAAAATCAATAGAAAACTCGTGGAATCACACTATTCCACAATTATGCACCATGTTGCCATGTCAATGTGTATTCCACAATTATGCACCATGTTGCCATGTCAATGTTCACACGAGATTGGAATAGTACGGGATCGACAAAATAGACATCCAAGATCGAACAAGACACTGAATTTTCGTTTTGGTTCAGTGATTTCCTTCTAGTCCAATAATAAAAATATAGAAAAAAAACGAAAGACAAAGAAAAACCATTTGGTATTCCTTCTTCCATGAGGAGGTTGTCCTTCCATTCTTTTTTGGCTAGCAATGTCACTATACCCAAATGGCTCCTAACAACAAGCAATAATTAAAAACTTTTTAAATAAAGGGGTGTGAAAGGGCAATAGAATGGAATGATGATAGATAGGTTTGGGGGTAGAGGAATAGGAATGAGTTTATTGCATATATAACTTTTTAAATAAAAATTTGTTATTGTAAAAAATTATATCATTAATTAATTAATAAATATTACTTCTATAATTTTTGATATTATCATAAGACTCAACTATTCACCAATTATAATAATTTGTAATTAAACATAAAATTAATGTATACTAATTTCAATTATTAAATTTAATTATATTCATTATATTTATTTTTAAGGACACTTTTTAAAAGATTTAATGTATATTTTATCAGTCATGATTTACAATGTATTATATTTATGTAGAGTAGGACCGATCCGTGTTACTACTATATCATCATGATTTACAATTTTGTAAACCTCTTCCAATCCCACTTAAAATCTTTTGAAAACTTTGATAACAGTAACTAAACTCTTATTGAACCAAAATTATGCAGGCTTTACAACCTTGCTTAGCCTATGTTCTTGTAAGAATAGGTATTATATATAGGTAGAGAGTTGTGTATTAAAAAATTGTTTCATGTTGTACCTATATCTGTATCTAGGTTTCTAGTTCAAGCTTATGACCTTTGATCTTCCCTCTACTTACTCTATCAGTACTCTATCATTACAAATAAGAGATCACAAGAGAGGGGTGATTAAGCCTCTCTTCCATATTTGGGGACACCCTGCTCTTTTCCCTGTAGCTGTTTCAACTTTTCCATTAATAAAATTATCTCCCATTTCCAGACAGGATGTAAAAACTACAAGTAAAACCACTCACTCATAGGACTAGGAATCAGTGAATCATGTGTTTGGACCATATAACATATAATGGACTAATTCTATGCATGACAGCAACTGCCTTTTGTGCGATATACTTATAGGAATTAGGATATAAATTATCAATATAATAATATATTGCTTTACATGTGCAGAGACCATATAAAAGATTAGTATTTAGAATAATGTGATTGAATTTACTGTATAAAACTGATTATAATTATTAATTTGTTTGGTTTATATCATAAATAAGATGTATTTTGTTCTTTTTTCTTGTTTGAAATTATAGTAGAGATGAGTGCCCCAGAACCTTCAGTCCAGCCAAAATAACAAGATGATGATGATGCTAAACCTCTATGGAAATAAATTACAAAAATAATAAGTGTAGGTGGAAATTATGAAATTAAGTGCAAATTTGTGATTTAACATTTTATGGATCTTAAACTAGAGTGAAGGGTCACTTGTCAAAAGGTAACAAATGCCAAACTTGAAGAATTTAAGAAGTTGGTCAATGAGGCTAGATTGAGGAAGTCCAACAAAATTTGTCTCCCAACCTCCATAAATGGATACAAACAGTAGTGGTGTTGATCCAAAAAGGAGAAAGACTATAGATGTTGAGTTTAATATGCAAGGTAGAAAGCCACTTGATTATGAAATTACTATAATGTTTTACTTTGCAGGGTTTCCATTTCATCTAGCAAGAAATCCATGTTATAGGAAAAAAGTTTTTTATGTTGCCAACCTCGAGAGAAATCATGAAGAGAAGTTGTTACAACTAAAAAGTTGTTATAACCAATTGAAAATTAATGGAGCCAAAAGGGTGTGATAATTGTTGCCTAAGGACATAGTGAGCCACAAAGATCTCTATTTAATTTTATGATTGTTAGAGAATGAACCTATGTTTCTAAAAGCTATAAAGTGTTCGAATGAGATAAAAGACAAGGATTTCATTGCCAAGCATGGGAGGGAGGGAGGGTGGTAATTATGGAGGTTGGGCCATCAAATGTAGTGCAAATAGTGATTCATAATGCAGTTGTTTGTAAGGCAGCATGTTTAATGGTTGAAGCTTAATTTCCTTTTCTTTATTGGACTCCATGTGTGTTTCATACACTAAATCTTGCTTTGAAGATCACATGAGCAACTAAGAATTCAGAAAAAAAAAAAAAAAGTGTGTTCCTCACCAAGAATGTCCGTTCATCACCCAAATTTCAAAAGATGCAACATTTATTCAAAATGACATCATGAGTCACTCAATTAGATTGTCAATTTTCAATTCCGAACAAGATTTGTCTGCCCTATTATTGTAATGATGTAATGCTTAAGAGAACTAAGAAATTAAACAAAGGACTTCAAGAAATGGTGATCAGTGGTCTATGGTTTCTTATAAGGAAGACGGAGTTGGAAAGGCAAACTTTGTAAAAAATATTTTATTGGATGATAATTGGTATAATAAGGAGGATTACGTACTTTCTTTCACTAGCCCAATCTATGTTATACCAAAGCTTCTTTCCTTCACCTAGTGTATGAAATGTGGGATTTAATGATTGAAAAGGTGAAAAAGGCCCTATATGAACATGAGAGAAAGGAGGAGAGTGAAGGGTCAATATTTTATGAAGTGGTTAATTCCATATTAATTGATCAATGGTCTAAGAGTACCACACCTCTCCATTGGCCAGCTCATTCTTTAAATCCAAGGTTATTAACTCAATATTCTTTAATTTATGTATCTTTCCTAGTACTTTTTGGTGAGACTCATTATCATAGATGGTTATACTTTACTACTCTTGTATTGATTGAGATGATTTTGAATACAAAAATCGTAATTATATAATATATATATATATATATATATATATATATATATATATATATGTGTGTGTGTGTGTGTGTCACGGTGCCTTGTATTTAAGACATTATAAGTGTCAATGTCTACATCGTATTTTGGTGTCCATGTAGAAGTCCGTGCTTCATAGGTTGTGACCATTGTTGGAACTACCAATTGCATGGTTTGTTTTGTTGCTCACATGTGCTTGATGTTGGTTTTTAGTGTGTATTAGGCATTAACAGATTTGGGGCAGGTGTTGGCTTTTTGCTTGTGTAGTGTCTACTAGTTGTTTGGTGCATGACAGCTAATGAGAAGATTTGTTTCCTCTAAATCAGATTCTACTTTCCTACAAATCTTATTATTAGATCTTGATTTTCAACAGAAAAAGGAAATTTAAGCCTCTAAATGTTGGTGCGGATGTTGAAGAGCTAGCTATTATGATTGGAGAGCACAGATTCTTATAAACCCCACAGCAGAATCCCCTGCTTCCAGTGTAGGGCTCAAGTACCATAACTTGCAATTGTATCCTAACAGAACCTACGGATATTCTGTTGTGTTTAGAAACTCCTTCAAAATCTACAAATTTATTACAAGCCTAATCCAATTAAGATCGCTTAAATTGGAACTAATGTAAAACCATAACATTGAAGTCATAAAGTCTTTCAAATAGTCTGTCTACAGTAATTTAATGAAAACCAATTATCTCTCAATGATTGATTACATTTAAGACTCTGAAGCTTTGGGGCCATAATGCCTTTCAAATTGCACTTGTATGTCATTTTATTTATTTAACGATTTTCCTCACAGAAACAGTACTCTAAAGCTTAGGCATGCATTTAAGAATACTAATGAAACTCAATTGCTTTACACCTTTTCACAATTCTAAACACCCCCCACCCCCAGAGAAAAGCTTGAACTCACAAGTAATTTTAGAATCTCTGAAAGATATACCGAAAAGTTGAAGATAGTTCTAGAATTTTAAAAGTAACTTACTCAAAAAAAAAAAGGTTGAATGTAGATTGATGCAGGAAACAAATCACCGCCAAGCATATCCAGTAAAAACTATTCAACAAGAAACAACATCCATGTGCAGCATAAAATTTGAGTGGGTTATTTAGCAATTTGCTAAGTCAAATACTTACACACATGAACAATTTTCATACCAGTGGGGGTCAAAGGTTTTGAGCATTTTGAGCATGTACTGGTTTGTGTAGCCAATAAACATACAAAAAGGAGATAGGCAGCATAATACTATACAATGCAAACAGCAATTGTTAAAGGTCGGTGTTCATACATTACCAAATAATTAAGGATTGAATTGTAAACAGGTAAGGACTAACCTTCATAACTACAATTGCGAAGCAGTGCAGTGACAACATGACGGGTAGAGTCATCATTCTCCACTAGCAAGACCTTAAGGGATCTAATATGCAAAAATCTCTCCCAACATATTAATGCCCCTTGAGGCTGTGGAATATGCTGCTGGATAGAGGACGACTCCACAGTTCCCCCCTGTCCGACCTTAACTTCTTCGGCTACTCCATTGCAATTCACTTCATCACCCTCGCATAACCCATGTTCCCCACCAGCAATCTTCTTCCCATCTCGTAACCGCTGATTCAGTTCTTTCAGCTCTTTGCTGTGGCCATCGACACTCATCTGGACAACCCTTGTTATCCAGAATGCCCAAATTCACAGTGATTATAACCCGTCCTCATCCAAATAAAAGCAGCACACATGCAACAATTTCCAGGAACCCCACCCAAATGCAACTGCAAATGCAACTCACTGTAAATGCAGTTAAAAGATAGAATAATCAAAATCTATACAACCAATAAAACTAAGACTAACAAATGCCTAGACCAAATATCCACAGCGCTCTCGAACAAAACCCTGTTCTACTGTTCTCCCCCTGTAATTTGCATATTGCATACTATCCCTTTCTAAAACCATTCACTTCAAATTCAACATAAAAAATTATTCAAAACTAACCACGGATCTAGTGCAAACACTAACCCCTACATGAAGTAATTCAATTTTTCTTCACAAGTATCTTCGAAACCCTAACTAAGCTGAAGAACTTAACTGAGGACTCCGAGATTTGACTTACTGAAAATCCAAAACGTCAGAGCAGTAACTGTACGCACACACAAGATCGTTGCTCAAGCAAGAAAATCCAGAACCAGAAACGATGCATCGTATTCTTCATGCTAAATCGCTGACACTGCAAAAGACAAATAGATTTGAAAATATAAAGAAGAAGATATCCTCATTCAAACTCAAATTTTATAAGAAAAAACGAGGATTACCAGCTGAGAAACTTCACTAATCGCCATTATGGAGTCATTACGAAGAAATTGGAATTACGTCATGATAACAACAACAATAAAATTAAACCGCTGTTAAATATTCAAGCGAAATTAGGATAAACAATTTTTCAAACAAAAAAATGGTCGAAAAAAAGGGGAAAATCTTTCGAAAGAAGGTCGTGTTTTTGTTGTGAAGGGAGAAAGAAGATTGACCAATCTGAAAGCACGGTAGAGAAGCAGATAACGCCGACGTTAAGTTTGGAGGAGAAGGAAAGGAAGATATTGGGTGGGTTCGGAGCGCGATGACCGCGGTTGGTGACGTGGACGAAGTGGAGGTGTGGAATTTTCGCGAAGTGCCACGTGCCGGAAGATATTTCCAAGTACGCATCGGGTTTGGGGACACGACGCTGCTGACGTGGAACAAATCAAAAGCCGCGTTCTCGAGGACGAAGAGGCGACGGAGAAGATCTTCAAGATTTGAAATGGAACACGTGGCGCAATCTCGCTTCACATGATTTTCGTGCAACGTTCACAACTTCACGGAGTTTGAGTCAACTGAAATGACGACAATGACCTTAGTGATTAAATATATTTTATTAAAAATGATTAATAAAGTTAAATAATAAACAAATTATATAATTTAATAATACTAATCATTGATAGTGATGACGTCATTCCTATTCTATGATCGCAAAGTCTCTAGCTGTTAACCTCATCATTGTTTCTTTACTCCTAGAGTAATTAGTAGCATAAAACATTTTATTATTCATGTTATTTCTATAATTATAGCTAGGAAATATTTATTATTTTTTTATGATTGATTTTAATATAAAAAAATAATTAATAGATTTTTCTTTTCAATTACGTTTCTCTATCTATGTAATTCAAATTTAAGACACGGAATATATGCTATTCATAACAACTTCGAGTTATTTTTGGTCTGGTTCAAAACTTTAAAAAATAAATTCATAATATATATATATATATATATATATATATATTATATAAACAATATTTCAAAAAATAGAAATTAAAATGTAAAAAAAAGTTACTTTTAAAATTTAAGATATATTCATAACATTAATTTTAAATTTAATTGATTAATAAATTATAAAAAATTTATTTATTTATTTAAAAAAATCTAAAAGAATAATTCATATTAAAAATATGAATAAAAAATAAGAATAAATTTTTAATCTTTATTCATAAATAAAAGTTTTGTTTAAATTATAATATATATATATATATATATATATATATTTAAATACTAAATATTATTTTATATAATGGATTCACTCGTACGTCTCTGAGTTTACTTCATCAAAACTCATTTAACAAACTGATTAAATATGATTTAATTTAAGTAATAACCTTTTTAAGTATAACCTAATTTATGTTTTCTTCAAATCTTTTAGATAAAACCATTAGATTATATTTATTTTGACGCTTGACAAACTTGATGATACGCATCATTATCTTCATGGGTTCATTGCAACAAATAAATATTTATATATAATTATAATTGGTAATAAAAACATATTTTTAAAGTGACAATTATATTATAATTAAAATATAGTAAAAAAATTAAAGTGTATACTATAATGAATAAAAGTGATTTAATTAGATAAAAAATGATATTTTATAATTGAGATTAAAAATATTATAAATAAAAAAATTTATTATTTAATGAAGTAATTATCTTTATAACCTAAATCTCATCATATTATTTTAATATTTTTTACTTATCATTAATTGTTTTTTAATTAAACCTTAGTGTTTTTGACAAATAGTAGATTGGTTTTATTTAATATAAAATTTGTTTTTAGTATGTTTAGTCTTGTTTATTATAGTATTTTATGAATAAATTTTAATTTCTTATGAAGATTTTTTTCTCATTTAACATTATTTTAAAATAAATTTTCATATAGGTAATATTTATATGAGTAACACATTTTTATAAAAAATCAACATTTAGAATAAAAAGTCAGTAGAAGCTAAAAATCCGATGTATTAAATCTATTAAATATATATATATATATATATATATATATATATATATATTTTAATTTTTATTTATATAATTATATCAAATCAATATAAATATTTTTTTTACATATCATAAAAATATATTTATATAATTATATTTTTAATATATTTTTATAAATATAGTAAATACAAATATATTTAATATAAATATAATATTTAAACTTTATTTAATATAAATTAGTTGAAGAAAAAATTTATAAAAATGATAATTTATAGGAATAATAAATCAAAAATAAATTTATATAAGATATTGTATGAATAATAATTTATTTAATAATAACTTTGATGTAAAAAATTAGAAAAATACAAATAAATTACAATATTATAGATTTTATATTTAAATAAATTTAATAAATATGGATTTATAATATATATATATATATATATATATATATATATATATATATAGATATATATGTATGTATATAACAAGATATTTAATAAATACATATATTTGTATATCTAAACTTACTTATCATTCATATGACCACCTAACTTTTATGTCACTCACATGCCTACATAAATTCTTCTATCACTCACATGACTATCTAACTCTCATGTCACTCGCATGCATATCTAAACTTACTTACCATGACCACATAATTCTTATGTCACTCACATGTCTACCTAAACTCTCATATCACTCATGACTATCTAACTCTTATGTCACTCACATGTCTACCTAAACTCTTCTACCAATCACATGACTACCTAACTCTTGTGTTACTCACTACTGTATAAAGTCTATTTTACCATCACTTCTCACACTAATTACTCGTACATTACCATCATTCCCCACACCAATTTCTCATAAGTTCAGACTTCCTCTATCTCCTCTCTAACCTTCTACACTTTCATCATTTGTATTATTTTTTTCTTTCATATGGATTCTTTCATTCAAGTAATTATCTTTGATGATGGTGACATTATGACTTGCCCTCAAACGGGGGTTTTATTTCATAGTAACATTGTTATCATGATGTGTATTCATAAAAAAATGACATTTGAGCATTTAAAACAAATGGTTTTACAAAAATGTGGTTGATCTCCCCATGAATAACTTTCAACCATCACGTACAGATACCCCATCAGAGTTTATGGCTCAGATGCGTATTATACTGCAACTACGCTTCAAGACGACGAAGATTTATAAGGGTTAATCGACATACAAAACGCAAACTCAATATCGGTCGGAACTGAGATATGTACAACCTACTATCGAGGTAATATTTTTGTTCCTAACCAATACCAAAATCAACATTATCACTCACAAACACAACCCACAAAACAAACATTTGATTTGAACAACACCTATTTAGGGCAATGGGAAGCTGATGTACAACCATATAGCGAGCTTCTAACTGGTCCATCTACATCAAATGTTTTTCCCTCCCTCACCAATGATATCACAACACCATTACCTTCTTTTTTACATGAAAATGAGACTTTAGGATTTCTTTCAGCATCTTTAAAACCTTTTAGTGATGATAAAGACGACATCCTCACACAACATGCACATGAGGACTATGACAACTTAGAGGTTTTCCCATACAACAACAATCTCAACATCATTTACCCCATCCATACATCTCTCCCCAACATTTTGAAACCTATACCACACTTCTTTATGAACAAAATAGTGAGTTTGGTGATGCATTTGACCATGAATCAGTGGAACATCCACCTGGATCATTATTTAAGGGAATGCATTTCCAAAACAAGGAAGAAGTAGTTAAAGCACTTAACAGGTTTCACATAATGAATCATTGTACCTACAAAGTCATACATTCTAACACTACCAGATCAAGAGTGAAGTGTGTTGAGAGTCATTGCAATTTAAAGTGTCAAGTGATCTTGGGCACCAAGGAACAATTTTGGGAGATTCGAAAGATAGAAGAAGCCTACACATGTACTACGCCTTTGATATCACAAGATCACAATAAGTTGGGGTTACGCATAATTTCGCAACATATTCATGAAATTGTGGACGCAAATCCTTCTACCCCCTATTGCAACTATTATTGTTCATATCAAATCCTCAGTTGGATAAATAGTGACATACAAAAATGCTTGGTTAGCAAAATAGCAAGCAATTGAAAATGCCTACGGTAATTGGGAAGTATGTCACACCTTAGGACAATTTGTGCTTAATTTCAAATCATCACGACTCAATTCATGCAGCGTACACAAGACCTGAGAGTGGATGAACTGATGGTAATTGTATGCATGTGTACTGCATTCGACATATTGCACAAAATTTTATGAGAAAATTCAAAAATGCAACTCTCAAAAAAGACCTTGTCAATATGGGTAACAACTTTTATTCTATCTAAATTGTTTTACTATGTCATATTGTTTATTCTATGTTAACTTTTATTACTTAAATATGCAGCATATGTAATGACTAAGCCAAGAGCAAACTACTACTACAACATCATAAGACAAGCCAATCTAGAAGCAACAACCTGGATTGACGAAATTCCAGGTTAGAAGATGGGGTCACCTAACAACCAACTTAGCCGAATTCATCAATTCAGTCCTAAAGAAACACAAGGAATTTACCAATCTCCTCTATGGTCATGGCCACATACACAAGATGCAACCAATTTTTCACAGAAAGAGGGAGGCAAATCACAACAATGATTAATGTTGGTCATGTCCATTCAGAAGTTGCATCAAAGGTCTTACAAGATTCTTATACAAAATCAAACACTCATAGGGTGCTTGAATTCGATAGAAACAACACAAGATTCTTGGTGGAGAAGATCGTCAACCCAAGAGAAGTTCGACCTGCTGGTAATTTTGTTGTTAGACTAGATGAAGCTTAGTGTGATTGTGGGAAGTTCCAAAAACTTCATCTACCATGTTCTCATGTGGTTACAACGTGCAAACATGCGCACCATGATTATGAGATGTACATCAATCTTGTTTACAAGTTAGATGTAGTCAACAAAGTGTATGACAATTTATTTGGGGAGCTTAGGCACGAAGATTATTGGTCATCACATCAAATCCCACAACTTTGCCCAAACCCAGCAACAAGAAGAAGTTCCAAAGGTCGTCCAAAATCAACACGAATTAGGACTGAAATGGATATCTGCGAAGAAGGTCAGTCAAAGAAATGTTCTTATTGTCACACTCCAGGTCACACAAGAAATCATTGTCCACATAACCCTAACCTTAGGGGATCAACTTCTAATAGATAAATCTATTATAGTTTTGTAATATGGCATTATAACCATTAAATATATAATTATTCTACTTATTTGTGGTTTTTTAACTTGTTTATTCATGTTTCGTTGCTTATTCATATTTCATCCATTTAATATCTAAAATATCAAT